AAACTAGAAGGGGAAATCTTGTTAGGATGGAAACTAAGGCGAATTCAAACTTTCAGCATGATCAAGCAGGGTGAGCAGAATCTTAGCTAAAACAGCTTCATAGTCTTACTGAAGCATCATATATCAGTAAATCCTTTTTTCTTTTCTTTTTTTCTTTTCTTGACAGATATCCAAGGATCCTCATTAAGGGACCTTACGGAGCCCCTGCTCAAAACTACAGAAAGTTTGACATCTTGTTGCTCATAGGTCTGGGAATTGGAGCAACTCCCTTCGTCAGCATTATAAAAGATATCATAAACCAAATAAACCACAGATTTGCTTCTCCTCCTGTGAGCCAAGAACCAAAAGACTTAAATTTGTTGGAAATGTGATGTAAATGGTAACTAACACTTCAAATTAGTTCATTCATGCAGGATTCAGTACACAGCAATTCAGAAAAATCCACAGAACCCCAATTAAAAGGCCATCCAAGGGCGGCTCAAAGAAAGAGTCCAGAAAGAGCGTATTTTTATTGGGTAACAAGGGAACAAGCTTCCTTTGAATGGTTTAAAGGTGTCATGGATGACATTTCAGAGTGTGACCACAATGTGAGTTTCAAACTAAAAGTCAGATATTCAACTTTACCTCGCTCATTCTTTCTGTAATATGAACCACATTTACTAACATCTGCTGCAGCATATGATAGAAATGCACAACTACTTGACCAGCGTGTACGAAGAAGGAGACGCTCGGTCTGCTCTTATCGCCATGGTGCAGAAACTACAACATGCTAAGAATGGAGTTGATGTTGTCTCCGAAAGCCGGGTACTCACTAGGCCACATTTACCACACAAAGCATTGTTAATGGAGTCACACTAGTTCTGTATCTCATTTCTGAGTTTAACTGTGGCAGATAAGAACACATTTTGCTAGGCCTAATTGGAGAAAGGTGTTTTCAGACTTGGCTGCCACACACCAATCTTCTAGAATAGGTAAGGCTAATTCTGTTGAAGTCTTTGAAGCTACGAAGTTTTGGACATTTTAAGCATGAGATGGTTATGTTTCTCTTGTTTGTTGCAGGTGTCTTCTACTGTGGAAGTCCAACACTTACCAAAACACTAAGGCAGCTCTGCCTAGAATTTAGCCTAAATTCATCAACCCGCTTCCAATTCCACAAGGAGAACTTCTAGAATAACTTGCTACCACATTGCACTAATCTTTGTAGAAATACTACTCTTCTTTTTCTTTACGTGCTCCTCTTGCTATTCACCATTGTAAATTTAGAAGAATAGGAAAATTATATACATTAATTATATACAAAAAATTAAAGTTTGCTGAAATTTTTTTTACCTCCTACTTCAATTGTGGTTTCAATATTCCATCTTTCTTTTAGCCATGGAGAGTCATCTCACAAATCTTTTGTTCTGGTGTTAGTTTGTTGAGAAGTGTCAACCCTAACAAATGGTTGGTGCTGCTCAAAACCATTCAGATAACCGGTTAGTAAGTTAATGTGGCAAGACGTCAAATTTCTTGTTAATATCAATCAAACCCATTTGGACACGATTATATCTAATCACACCGTTCTAAATAATAATCAAGCAACATAACATAATTTAACTGTAAACCTATTGTTCTTTTTTAATGAATGAAAAACATATTTTCATAAATGTAATTTTTCATTGTCATTTGTCTTCATCGGGGTTTATCATGGAAGGTACTCGAATGATTATTTGATTGACAATGAGGTTTCTTTCCACTCAGATTGAAGGTTCTTTCCATCACATATAATTAATTCTGTCTTTTTGCCACTGTCTGTTTTGTCTCGTTTGGGGTCATAGGATATATATCATTTTGTAGAGTCGTTTAGTCCATTTCATCAAACACGCCCTTGGTTTCAACTTCATTATAGTATTAGTATGTCGTCTTCTTGTCTGACACAGTCGTTTGGAACACTGTCGTGGCCTTCAAATTACTCAATGACAATATATATACTTTACGCATGTGATATCCAGTATTTATTGCCAATTTGCCATGCATTAGTCACTAGCAATTTCTTTTTTCTGTCAATTAGATTTCTATTAGCAGATGAGGATTAGGCCAGTTAGTGAGAAGTTTGCCCCCTTACATTCAAATTCAAATCTCTCTCTCCATAAATTAAGGATCTGTTTGATAACTATTTTCATTTTCATTTTGTGTGCTAGAGTATAGAGGAAAAAGAGGGAGAATGGAAGTGAAAATGAGAGTGGAGATGGGACTGAGAGGGAAGATAAGAGGGAATGATGGAAAGGAGGAGTAATAAAAATGAAAATAAAAACTAAAAACAGAAATCTATTTAAAATTATTTTCACTTTCAAGTTTTTATTTTCACTTTTGTTACTCCTCCCTCTCATCCTCCCCTCTCATTTCCCTATATACTCCAGCGCAAAAAGAAATTTTAAAAATTAAAAAATTAAAAAATTAAAAACTAAAAACTAAAAACTAAAATTGAAATGGTTATTAAACATACCCTAAAGTTTAGAGTATCGGTTGTATAAAATAAAAAAAATCCTATTAAGAGTACTTCTCTCTCAAAGTGCTAGTATTGAGATAAATTAGATTGAGCTGAATCACATTAGAGGGAGAAAAATATGGTTGCTGATAGGGTTGCGAAGTTCAACAACTATGAACCCCGGTTGTATGTTCTTTGAGGGGCCTCCCTTCTAATGTTGTTTCTTCTGTTTTAGATGATCTTGCTAGTCTTTCTAGTCCCCGTGACTAAATGTGAGATTGGGATGAATCTGATCATCAAGAGACCTGGACAATTCGGACAGTTGCCAAACCCAGAAACAATTAATATGGTGGTTGTCTTATGCCTGAGCTGTACTTGAGCATATTTTTCATGGAGTTGAGATGTTTATGTGGATGCTTGACTGGTTAATCTTGGAAATAAATGGAATAATACTTAACCATACAATATATAGAATTCATTTCATGCAGTATGTATTGTGAAACGTATAACATATTTACTAATTACATTGATGATTGTATCTCTTGTAGGGCTTTTAAATTTATTTGAATGTGATGTCTATTATTATAATTATGTAAATACTTTGTGTTATTCGAATTTGGATTTAAAATGGAAACCTTATGATATACCCAAAGACCTAGTTCTTACACCCTAACATGAGTACTACAGGGGTGGATCCACACAAGGGCAAGAGGGGTCAATTGACCTTTGCAAACCCGGAATCCACACCATTGGAGGTGTTGACCCCTGTAACCACAAACTGCTTGATGAAATGCTCTATAGGGCGCAGCACACTGCGCGTGGCACTTCCCTTGTTTTTGTTTTCCTGATGTCAAAACGACGACGTTGTACAGAAGATTACCTTATTTCCATTACTTTGTCCTTTTACTTTCATTTATTTTATATTACTCAATTTACTTAAGTTTACAATGTAAATAAAGAAATAACCCCTCATTTGGATTCAAATAAAAATACTAAAAAAATAAAATTCCCACCAAATCAAAATATGAAAAATAGGTTTTAGTGCAAAATACAATTTGGACTAAAAATGAGGGCTCATTACGTCAATATATACTTTATACTAAAATCCCATAAAATCAAGTTTTCTTATTTGATGTGTACCAAAAATTATCTTAAGAAAATGATTATTTCAAAAAAAAAAAAAATTTCATACTTAGCCAATATTTTTATATAAAATAATTTTTCATGTATGATATGAATACATGAAGGGATCTAAGGTTAATATAGGTAAAAAGCCTTAGATATTCAATCCACAAAGAGTTTTACAAGGATAGCCTAACTCTTACATATTGAAGAAATATTTGCTTGTATAAAGCTCCCTCTAAGACAGTACACATAAGGGTCTGAAGTTTGAGAGTTAGAGCCCAAAAGAAATACAGATAAAGCCCAAAATCAAAATAACGTAAATGCCCTAAAATGAGCAGGATTATGCTAATATATGTTAGCTCTTATGACGAATAGGATGAGATGCCTTGGAAGGGGAAGAGGATTGCACTAATTTTTTGGTTTATTATCACATTATTTCTGGTTTATAGTAGTGTGAGTCTATTTTTTGAAGTTGATGCAGTTCTCTTTGATAATGAACATTAGTATTTTGTATGATTTTATCTATTAACTGTGAATTAGAATATTATCTTTTCATTTCGATGGATCTATTTTGTATATAAATTTTTTTAACCTTTTACAGGTTGATCCCTGTAATGAAAATTCCTGAATCCGTTATAACACCTGAAAGTAGACTATCAACCGGGTTTGAACTAAGGATTAGATCATGGCAGTTGTTTTAGTGACAATTGCTTTTTGTCATATAAAAAACATATATTATTAAAGGATTTTTTCATAAATAGGCACATTCTACCCTGACATATTATACAGTTTGCCTTATTGTATCATTATTTTCTTAATGCAGTTTGCCTTTCACGGCGAAACAAAAAGAGATTATAAAAATAAAAAAGTCTTTCAAAATTTAAACATAATAGCATTCAGAATGTGCTGCATTGCATTGACATGTTTCGAAAGGTCCAAAAGACCAAGTAAATACCAAACACTAAAAAGCTGACTTGTACATGACTACATACATTCATACAACAGTTCAAGTACTGCGTCTGGGTCTGGGTGTGCAATATGTCAGCTTTAAGCTTAAACACAAGAGACAAAGCCAATGCTGGCTGCATGCAATGCATACACTCCTTCTAGCATTGCCAATAGTAATAATAGTACTAGCTAGTGGGGTTTTTGTTTGAAAGGTTAAGTATAAATATACATAAATAAAAGGGCATTCCTTTAAATACATATTTAAGTTGATAGGCTGATAGGCTGAAACTGAAGGCATCCCACCCTTCCTCTATAGGACCCAGAACCTACTACTACTCGTTAGACAATTGAGATCTTTCATATCACAGAGCAGAAGAAGAAGAACCCAGAAAACACATAACAGAAACCAAGACACACACTAAACAAAGTCACCACAGAGAGAGAGAGAGAGAGAGAGAGAGAGAGAGATGCAGCAGAAGAAGTGGCTTGGCTTGGGGTTTTTAGTAATTTGGTGTGGGGGTGGTGGGAGGAGAGAGAGGATTGGAGGAGGAGGGTGAGGATTCTTCTTTGAGATTGGTGGCGGTGATGGGGAAGAGTTGAAGGGTCTTGAGTGGTTGTCTAGTAGTAGTAGTTCTTGTACTAGTACTACAACATGGAGAGGGTGGGCCCACATCCTCCATCATCATCATCATCCAATCACGGCCGTACATACTCATCACGGACTTCTCCATCTCCACCCTCTGTGGGATCTCCATCTTCCACGCGTGGTTCATCAAGGCATCTTCAACTCCCCCCTTCAAAGCCAGAAGCAGAGTTTAAAGCCGAAACAGAGAGCATTCAAACAAAATAAAATAAAGAAATCAGCAGCAAAATAAGATAACTTATATATAGTTTCTGTATTTTTCATGAACTTGTGGGGCTGAGGGTAATTAATCCATGTTGGCCTGCTCTTAAGTTGTCATTAATGAATTTAATGCTCTTATAAAAATTTAATTAATGCCAACGGAGTGTCTAGACCAATGAAAAATGGCATTGGTTTACAAATTAGAGTAGTATCAGGTTCGAATCTCTATGAAATCATAGTAGTGTGTGTGAGAAATCCCCTCTCATATAGTTCAAACTATCGCTTGTACTAAAAAAAAACTAATAAAACATATTTGTTTCCATGGCCGGGTAATTAATAAAATTATAAGTAATTCTTCCATGTGATCATATTAACGTCACGTGGCAGTATTACAGTACATTTATATTATAATAAATATATGTATATTTCTTTATTCTCTATTAGTGTGACACTCGCACTGTAAAATCAACTTGTGCTGGTCTTTGTATTGTAGGGCTTCCATAAAGTAATCACTATACTATGTCATGCCAATGTGGTGTTAGTAATGTATTTATGATAAGTAGAGTGCTGTGAAATAATTTTGGAAGGGGGAAGAGACCTATGTATAAGACAAAATATCTATATTTGAAAGAATTAAGCTAAAACATTACTCAAAACCCAAATGGTAGAAACAGACCTATGATATATGCATGCATAAAGTAAAATAATTACAAGAAGGAAGAAAGAAGAATATTCTCTCTCTTTCCCCAACTAGAACATATCTCATCACTGTGTAAATAGAAAAGGAAAAAATAATAAATGAGAGAGATATATTATTTATAATTATATAATTAATTAACCTGAGGAGGAGGAAGAAAGCCAGCTGATGAGTAGTTATGACAGTTGGAAAGTTGTTGAAGAGTAGAAGAAGAAGCAGGAGGGCTGAGATGGTCAAGGTACCCAAGAAGGCTCTGCTGCTGCTGCTGCTGCTGGTGATGATGATGATGATAAGGGTTATTATGGTAATTATGATAATTGTGGTGGTGATTATAGAGAAGTTGCTGTTGCTGCAGTTGCTTACAAAGCTTCCTCCTGAGCTTCTGCCTGTCCCTGGCCTTGTGGTTCTGGAACCAGTAAAATACATTTTTGCCCTCAATCTTGCCATAGAGGGAGAGCTGGGCAGTGATGTGTTGGATTTGAGAGGCATTGGGTGTTCTGATGCCAGCCCTGTACATCTCCTCAAGGATCATCAGTTGCTCTGGGGTTGGGCACCATCTTGATGAAGAATTTGCTGCAGGAGACATTTTACTAATTAGTTTCCCTAATTTCTTTGATAATATTAATGTTTGAGAGATTGAAGCGGTGGAGCAGCTGGTTGGTGGTGGGTTTAGTGGGTTTAAATAGAAAAATTTGAGCAGGGTTTTGATGTTCTGGAGAGTGAAGGGGTTGAGAAAGCAGGGGAGGTATAAATAGTGGCGAGGTTAAGAGAGAGAGAGAGAGGTTAAAAGAGAATAGTGTGACGTACCAGGAGTGAGGGTGGTCATGCTGTGCTTCCCTGAGAGGGGCATTCAAGTGTAGGTTTTCAGTCCTCGCAGAAACACACACACTCACAACTGAGAAAGAGGGAGAGAGAGGGGTATTTGAATGATTATGTCATCATCAACATATAATATTTACTTTGTCTACAGAATGGATAAGACAGACCATGTATGTTGGATTCTTGAAGCAGAGAAAGCTAATTGCTATAAATTTAATTCAGCCAAGTGGCAAATGGTGTGGGTGATCGATGGACACTCTACTCAAATTCTTGGAAAATTTTTGAGTTGACAAACCAAAAAATTGTTATGAAATTAGGAAACACTCTAAAAGGATTAATTTGAATGTTACGCATACAAACTCACAAGTATAAATGAGAAACGTAAGATTTTCTCGACTCCAATAAGACTCGATTTGTACATATCATATTTATTAATCACATCCCTCATAAAAGTGAGACTCATTTGACATAACCATCTTTTTTGTAAAGAGCATGCATGCATGCAGCTCGGAAGAATATTCTTATTATTTTCCAATTCTGAAAAGAATCAAAGCATTTGGGAAAAGAGCTCAAGTAAATGACTTTCCCCTAATTTTATCACCAGATTCTTTTTTCTGGGGGGGTTTCCAATTAGGATATATATTCATATTCATTCCCAAATTCTCTTGAGATTTTTGCTTCCCAAACTGATTGGGCTACCATTAACCGACAATTCTCAATACTGTGGTAAACGTAAGCTTTCCATGCCACAAGAAGACATACAAAATAGACAACTAAAAAAGAAGCAGACATACAAATTTCATAAATGCATGATGCTTCGATTGCCATGTGGTTTTCTTTGACTTTCTTGGCCTACTTCACTCTGACAACATTCCCTCATAATCCCAATACAGACAAATTCAATCAACAGTGATTTTATCTTTCTTCTCATGACAAAGTTCAAAAGTGAATCATTTACCAAAAGATAAGTTTAATAGTGAATATATACTACTACTTTTTTTTTTTAATTTAAAAATTTAATGATTAATAGAATAAGAATTCTTACTCCATATTTCTTATATAACTTATTTATAGAAGTCGGCGACTTGTTGGCCTCAAAATTTGTTGTTGCAACATCAAATCTAGAGACGAGTACGTCGCTGACTAAAAGAAAGGGGGAAAACGTTGAGGATCTAAGGGCATGTTTGGTATTCAATTTAAATTCAATTTTTTAAACTCAAAAACAGAATTTGCGTCCAAAATAAAGAAAGCATGTTTGGTGGCCTTATTTTTAAAAACTGGAATTCAAGAACAACTAAAAAACACCACAATTATTATTATTAAAAACAAAAAAAATCTGTTTTTTCAATTTTTTTCTAACTCCTCACAATTTCTCAAATTTCTAATATTTGAAAACAATTTTCTAGTTGAATACCAAACAAGTTTTTGAATCTTAAAAATATATTTAAGAACTCATTGTTGCTAAGAAAAATCAAAGTTTTTGAGTTTCCTATTTGAATAGGATACCAAACGCCCCTAACATACCCGGGAGACAGTTCCGAAATATTGTATTTGAATCAAATTTACAACCAATCAATTTCAAGAATTTTTATTTTCTTTTATTTAGCTCTAAAGCTAATTAGGGCATTCAATAATAAGGAAAAGCTCATTCAATTCTTCGATTGAGTGCATCATATTCCCCATTTTGTAGGAATGGACCCTACTTTAGAGTGTGAATAACTAATAATGCCTTCCACCATTCATGCACAATCTTACCAAACAGACCCCAGATCTCCACACCTTCTTCTTGGACCGATAATCAGATCTCCCTCGTTCTGTCTCCCTTTCCCTCAACTCCTGTCTCACTCTTCATTTAATTCACCCCATTGAGCAAGCTTCATACATAGTGCAAGTCACTGTCTCATTTTCTTAAAGAATTATGGTATGATGATACCAGAATAGTATAGGTAGATATGTTAGGTTTTCTTGATTTTGCAATTTTCAAATCCTTCACATCACGCACTCACCATTTTTCAAACTCAAACAATAAGAAAAATAAAAAATAGTGATGTCTATGCACAAATTGAATTGATATTTTTCAAATACAAGGTTCACATTTGTTTCGGACTACTTCTGTAGGTGTTTGGCAAAAAATCTTAAAAGTGTTTATGAGTCATAAAATCGGTTTTTGGAAAAACACTTGCTAGTGCTTCTTCAGTAAAAATGCTTGGATTTGTAATACAACGTGCTTCCAGTAAAAACACTTTGAGCATAAATGCTTCCTACATAAGCAGTTCTAAAACATGCCTACAACATTATCTTCCATGGTAATCAAATTACAATTTTAATAGTTTTTCCAAGATGTGAAATTTAACTACAAGGGAACTAAAAACACTCAACAATTGTCCCCCCCGCAAGAGCATCCCCGCGCGACAACGCCCAACTAACTATAAACACACCTGAAAAGCTTTTTTTTTTTTTTTTCCCACATCAATGATGTGTGTACAAAATTATAGCTAAGGCAAAATGAATGAGTTAGATAATTGTGCAAACACCAATATGCATGGTCACATTTATTTCTGAAGCATATTTATTGGAGGAGGGGCAGCAGATGTTTCTTATCAAAAAAGATAAGAAAAAGGACATGCACATGCACTCATGCGCAGTAACTACTTGCCATCAGCCCAGAAAAGCTCTGTGGATGATTCGCAGTAATAAAGTTAAGTTATGAATTCAATTACTGCTGGCTGGGGAGGATGGGGTGGAAATCGAGAAAAAATAAATTAATAAATATGGTTTAAGGCTACCATGCACTGATACGCGTACGCTTTGTGTAGTGAAAGGTCTACGCATATGTACAGGTTCTTCTACCGTATCGTACCACATAAATGAAGAAGTACTGGCTAGCTAGCAACATAAATGTCGTTAAATAATTATTCATCAACTTCAAAAACTTGGGCTCTTCGGGAGCCCAAAGATACGATACCATTAGAGGCAAAGCTAGAATTTTAAGTTTAGGTGTTCAAAGTACAAATAATTATATGCAACGGGCACATTATTGTATATGTGTTTGAAAATTTGGGACGGCGAGGGCCATTGGTGACCGATGAGTGGCTCCGCCCTTAGATACCACGTTAAATAACCATAAAGCTTTAAAAAGCTTTGAATAGTTAGAAATTTTAAGGGTTTTTAAACAATGTTTATCCTATCACTGTCTTACCTTGTAGCTATTCATAGTAAATTTGGGTTTATGTGCCTCTCTTCATATAGGATTGGAGATTGAAGAAAGGTAAGGAGATAGCAACAGAGGGAGGGCTACCTTAAGCAGTTAACTGGACTGTCTAGTCATTCATCATCTTCAGTACTTGGTCGATAGCAAAACATATAGTGGAGTAAATCAAGTCAAAAGAGAATCAGACAAAGCTTTGTCTGATCAAAGTTGATGGCGTTTGAGATTTTGCTTATTTATGGTAATTATTGTAGAGCTCAAGTCATGCAAGGATCACATTGATGAATAGTGTGTGACTCATGACACCTCCTTGTGTCGTTGCAGCAATTGGTCATATCATGTCTCCTCTCACCCTCATCATTTCTTCATCATATTCGTAATAAAAAAATATAAAATAAAATATGTGCCAAGGGATTTTGGATTTTGTAGCAATAGCTTGGCTTTTCACAAACGCAGGGCATGGAATAGCAAAATGTAAGCTGACAAGGGTGGCCTTTTTATTCAAAGAAAATAAAAAAAAAATCCCACACATTCGCATGTTATGTCTTCTTTTTTTAGTATTACTTAGGCTTATGACACAATATTCCTTACCCTTGTATTAATGATGATCCTTTTTTTTTTTTTGACATGTTTAGCTTCTTCTTTTTTGTTTTTGATTGCCTTCGTTTCACAAAACAATCTAAAAGTGTTATCATAAGAGCACTTCTGTAGAAGCATATTCATAAAGTTTTAAGTGTTTTTCCAAAAAGCAGTTGGATTTTTAAGCAAAATCTGTTGAGCAAAAGTACTTTTTATAAAAGTCCCTGCAATACAAGTAAAACGAAGAAAAAACAAGGAAAATACTTCCCTCCTTGCTATGTAAGCATGACCTCTTACACTCATGTCAATAATAATGTGACATGTGCAAAAGTTCTTTTTGTGTTTTTGATGAATTATTTTTGCATATCTGTTAAAGTGTGATGCACAGGAAGAACGAGCAGCTCCTTACAGGGAGTGAAACAATCCCAAAATTAGTTGTAGTATTTTGACGATTTAAATCGCAGAGGAATTAAATTGGAAACAGAGAGAGTATAGTGTGTATAGTGGTGGCTTAAAAGGCTATGATATAAATTATTGCCCATTTCTCAAAATACTGGCATTGATTGAGTGAGGCAGTGAACAAAACACTCGTACGTCATATATTTAGGAGAAGACAAGACACCGCAGGCCATGTCCCTTTTAGTCAACATATCCACACCTAGGCAAAATGTGATGTTGGAGGGAGAGTTAATTAACCCAAGGCTCTTTTGTTTGACTATTCAATGACTTCTCTGATCACCTACGAATGTTACGTTGTGTGGTGTCTGAACCCTAAATCATCATCACGTGACCAAAATTATGCAGTTTACATACATCGAAGAAATAAAGAAAAACTGAAAGCCTAATCTGTTTGGATACTCAGAAAATTGAAGTTCGAGAGAAAATGTAACGTTTTTCCCTTCTTTGTTTTTTTCTCATTGATTGTAGTCATGATTATGCATTTGTATACGGTAACAAAATGATGATTTCTCTTTGAACATCCAGTCGAATTGAATCCCACGTTGGTAATATAAGGCTCTTTTAGTGGCTCGAAGTATACTGAATTAAGAACTAAGTCCGATAATTTTATAAGTCTCACACTTATAGAAGAATTATAAACCACAATATCTTGGATTGTTTTGCAATTTAATAAGTCCAGTCATAACACATTTATAAAATTACCAAATACCGTTTTTGTATAATAAATTAGTCTCAATTTTTCTTTATATTATTGGCATAACAAAGGAGATGGGGACAATACTCCTGGAAAAGAAGAAGGAGATAGGGACAATACTCCTGGAAAAAAGAAGAAGGAGATATGGACAATACAAAAAATGTGGATGCATATGCATGCAAACTATACAAACTCAATGTCCTTTTTCTTTTGGTCGAAAATACAAAATGTGATGGGAACACGTAATTAATAAATAAATCCAGTACTTATTTTGTATTTGTACCAGAAAGAAAATTATTGATCCATCTTTTTCACTTTTTCACTAGTACTGTATCCTCCAAGATGCAGCTTCTCTTTCTTCAAAACTGTACTTGCGCGCACTTTCTGCCTAAATATTGTAAGTTAAGTAATTTGATGCATTTACATGTACTGGGCTACCAACCGAAATTCAAGAGTTAATTAAACCTCTACACTATAAAGTAATTTTTTTTTTCTTGGGTACAACCGTGAGAGTCTAAATTATAGGGGAGTGGGATCTCTCTTATACACACAACTATGATGCCGTAGGGATTCAAATATGAGATTTCTGGTCTGCAATTTAAAACTCCGTTAGCACACTGTAAAGTAATTAAGTATATCATGAACGAGAAGAAAAAAAAAGCCAAAAAGAGGTATAAAAACTTCTTGCTGACTGACTGAAACACCATGTTTCTGAAAGTCGAATCGATAACATGTAATACAAGAGTTATATGAGAATTATTATTGAGAAAATAGTGCAAATACAATTGACCCTAATGCTAATGCTAGAAATCCAACTTTTTTTCTCACACAGCTTTTATTGTTCTTTTATAATGCAATGAAATGGTTATAAAAATTTGAGATAACTTGTAATGAACTATATCATGGAACTGGCAATTTTTTCACTTGTTTTTTCCAAAACACTTTCCTCTTGTGCTTGATCCCAAAAGGAGTAACTTCTTTATCATCGCACACATCCAAGCCATGCCAAACACGGCGTGGCAGGTACCTTCGAAAGTAGAAGTACTCAGAGCTGAGATGAGAGCGAGAGCCCTCCAAAACATGGACTTGTGCAAAACCAGGTCTCCAGTCATCAGCTCCACTCAGTTTGAGATAGAGGTAGCAGATGGGCGACTCCACGCATGCACCCTTCACTTGGAACTCATCCACAACACAAACTTGAAATGGTTTTCTCGGCACATCGTCGAGGACCTCAGGCTCCAATGGATCCACCCTTCTTATGTGCTTGGAATTTAGGTGCCTCACCACAATGTCATTTGAATTTGTGTCACCAAATCTTAGGCTGATGTGGTTTGAGGTCTCGGCCCCTTTTGTGCATGTTGTTTCAATTGTAACTGCGTAGGTGCAGTTTTCCTGTAATGTTGAGAAAGTGAGATCATTTTGAATAAAGCAAATAGTCCTAAGAAATGTGATGAATAATGTGATTCGTAAATGTGGTACAGTTTCTCGATGCAAAATGTCTTAGCAAGTTTTCGAAGTTAATACTAGAAAAACGAAAAAATTTAAGGGGAAAAAAAAGGCCCGACATGCTGATCAATAACATGAAATCATGTTCGACCATCAAGAATCCAATATATGTTGTTGATCACACCATTCAACTCACAACAAGAAGCTTGTTATTCACACGCACATTCACAAAGACATACATATATAATTACACAAGTAATTTACTTGATCATTACCTTGTTTCTTGGCGTGGCACTTTGACCTCCGGCCATTAAAGCAAGAAGAAGCACACAACATATTAAGAAGGGTCCTCCATTTCCCATATTGTCTTTTTGGTGTGCTCAAATTACACAGAAAATCTCATTTCCAGTAGCATATTATCAGATCTCTGAGTGCGTGTAATTTATAGACTACTCCAAGGCTTCATTCTTTGCTTGGCAAACTAAGGAAGGCATATTCTTAAGCTGTATACATGTGACACAGATGATTCATATATTTATGTATGTACAATTAGACGTATGGGTCAGGTTTCTTGACGTTCACTTATACCCATCTGCTTTAACAAAGCTTGATTTCCTGGATATTAGAGCAAAGCATCTTTTATTAGAGATAATCTTTTATATCCTGACACAATTAATTCATCAAATGAGTTCATCAGAAGCTTTTATCTTTTCTTTTTCTCATTCAATATAATTGAGTGAGATCATGGTAAGCCACATACATGTGAAAACACATATAGCAGAAGGCACAAACACGAAAATTAAAAAATTAAAAAAAAATCTCAAAAAAGAAAAAGGAATCGATATCGTAAAATTATTCTTTTTTGAACTACAATTACATAACGGAGAGCGAATGGTTGGTTCTGGATATTCATGAACCATTTCATAGTCGGTTGGATGAAACTGCAGACTGCATTGAACATAGATTGTGGATGAGGTCCATAGATTGTGGATGATGAACCATTTCCTCCTCATCATCAACATGAGCTTCATCTCCTTCAACTTTGTTCAATTTCTTCAACTTTTATATATGGTGGCGAAGCCAAGCTTCCTCCTCAATGACCCGGTCAAGCAAACGGAGTCTACTCCATCTCCAATCACCTCCACATGATCTGTCTGCTCCTTCTATAGCCAATTTGCTCACACCTACTTAATTAAAGATGGTCATTATTTATATAGAAAATCATGCTATTATCATATCCTTTAGATGTTTAAAATACATGATATTCGTGCAGTAATAACGTCCGAACGCCTGTCTAAGAAAATTTATATTAATGTACTTATGTGTACATTTATAATACAAAACGGAACACAAAAGATTAAATTCAAAATCCATGTGCATATATACTTATGTAGCATAACTTATAAATTTGTTTTTTATGTTATGGGCGGGGGGACTAGGCTAGCTAGGGAGGGAGTCCAAATTATTTTTTCTAGGACGTGCATTACTTATACCCCCTATATATTTATATAATGTGTCACATGAAATATCAGAATATATGTGCATCTTTTTTTGGATAATAAAATATATGCATATTAGAATATTAATTAAGACAAGATGAGGAGGAGTGTTTCCTTTTGAAGCCATGTGGCATGCTGACCTTGATCGTAGGAATATGCTCGTTTATGGGGCTTTGGATACTAGGGTAGGGCAGGTAGGGTTACCATTAAACCATTTGGTTTGGCCCTCTTCGGCACACAAGGCACAGAACCAGATAGAGACTGATAGCCCGGCCCAAACTCTAAAGAAAATATAAAATTTGTATGCATATATTTCTAAGCCTGCCAGCCCACAAACCACCACAAACTTTTTAGCCCACCCCATTTAAAAATCTTGTCTCACCTATCCTCACGAGCCTATCGTTAGAAAGTACTCAAATATAATAGGCTTATTTATGTATATGCCCTCTGTGCTTTCAAACTTGTCTCAGATTACCACTTGTGTTTGCAAACGTCTCAAAGTACCCCCCAACCTTTTAAAAACCGTCTCACGTTACCCGTTCCGTCAGTTTTTTTGACGTTCCGTTACGAACGTTGGACCCCACTTCTTTTTTTCTCTTCCTTCCCCCCTAATTCCAAAACAGCAACCCATCCCATTGCCGACCAATTTTTGGGCTGCCATCTCCTCCTCCGGGCACTCCAAGTGACAACATGGGTATCAAAAGAACCAGCACGTTGTCCTCTACCAGCCTCACATCTCAGTCGCTGCCAACTACCGTCTAGATAGCCGGAAAAATAAGAAATTGGCCGGTTTTTACTCCAAATCTTCATCGCTCGTTCGGGCGATTCTGAGCACCAGTTGCTTCGATCCAGGTATGTTTTTTCAACCTCTCGAGCTGTTCTTGCTGCTAGTTGTGTTGATTAGAAGAAATTTCTGAGTTTTGGAGGGTAAATAAGCGATGAACAGTAACAAAATGGAGGGGCTGTTGTTCTAGAATTGGGGGAGGGGGGAAAGGAGGAGAAAAAAAAGAAGAAAAAAGGAAGTGGGGCCTAACATTCGTAACGGAACGTCAAAAAAACTGACGGAAGGGGTAACGTGAGACGGTTTTTAAAATGTTGGGGAGTACTTTGAGACGTTTGCAAACACATGTAGTAATCTGAGACAAATTTGAAAATACAGGAGGCATGTACATAAATAAGCCAATATAATATGACGTACATGCTAAATTAAAATGAATTGTTGTATTATGTATATTGAATCATTGAGTATTGGTAGGTGAATGTAAGCAACCTCAAAGAGGGGAAAGGGTTGTCATCGGGTTAACTTCAATATATAGTGGGTTGCTAGAGAGGAGAGCATGAGTAAAACTTGCCGTTACAAACCTTATTTGCAAAAGAAGAATGCTCAAGAGACGTTGGATGCAACACTTTAGCATATCTTACTCTCCATGTGGACGACTATACATATAAAGTGCGAGGCATGGCATGTGTAAAATGTCAGGTCATCAATACAACTATATATATATATATATAAAACAAGTTAATACAGCTAAATATATCTGGAAAATAGGATAATATTTTCTGATCGTTAAGAACAAGAAAATAATAGGGATCGAAAAGAAAAGGGAAATTATTTATATAAAAAATACATGAAAAATAAAATAAATAACTGCCCAGTTACAGATAAGAGAGTACAGAGTAAGGAGAAGAGTAGGTGCAACTACAGGGGTTAGGTTTTGTGAGCCTCAAGATGACATGAACAGTACAATGAAATCTTAGCTCCCACATCTCCATCTCCTTGACAGATTTCTTTCCTTGAGAGAAAATTATGTTCATATTGAAGTTTCCCAAACCTACTATTTATTAATGACACAATGTTCTTTAAAATCGGCTGCTTGATAGTAACCCTTCAATGATCTGCTTGTCCTTACCATTAAACTGTATTTGACCAAGCTGCATGCATGTAGATAATGTTTAAAACTATAGGGTTTGGAATATTGAACTTGAGATCAGAGAGACATGGAGTGATCACCAAACAAAGGATATATATATATATATATATATATATATATATATAGTTGGTGCTGGTGCAACATAGGCATCAAATTTCATTGGGGACTAGGACAACCTCATAGCGATCCAATTTGCTTTGTCACCAATAACTCACTGAGGTTAACGGTTGAGAAAGCTGCATTTACTAGACAAAACATGTTTTGTACAAAGCACGCCAAAATGAGAAAGAGGAGATTTGAATTCCCATAAATTGGTGGCTCAAAATCATCTACGTGCATATTGCATCTTCAATATCAATAATTCATGACAATTATATCACCAAGCACATAAACGACTTTACCTAGCATAACTCAATAAATATGTTGAATGTTATGGTTTATTATGCCTCCCATCTATATAATTAGGTCATTTCTATACAAAGACATAAGACAATAAATATGATACAAATAGTTTAAGACATATACTCCCACACTTTGAAGGGGTGCTAGCGAGAGATCTCCTCCATTTCAACATATATATACAATGTACTACAATATTTTTTGCTCTCTTCGGACAATTTCACATTCTAGCACTGAAAATTTGGTGAAACCTATATCTGCGGCTTATTGCAACATGCATGGTGTAAACAATTTTCTCATAGAGTTCATTTAAGTTGCCCCATTTTCTCTCTACACTTGAAAGCATGCAAAGACTTTTATGTGCGTTTTGCTTTTTCTCATAGACTCGTAGTTGTTGCTATGCCCGCAAATAAGTAGGTCAAAGTCACGTCCATTTTGAGTTCAAAGATGCATAGGGACGTGGAGAAATACTTAAAAAATGTTCGACTTGAAAGGAAAGGAGGTCAACAGAAATTGATTGTCTTTGACACCACTCTAAAGTTATTGTTCTAACAACCATGCATCGTATTTTAAAATAGCTAATTCATGAAGCTCATCTTCTAGTTAATTTTCTCCAGTATAAACTCTATATATTTCTAATCTCCATGACCACCAACTCAACCAAACTCACTTTCCTCGCCACCTCTATATATACACAACCCAAAAGCTCCATTCAACACCCACTCAATTGGAGCAGTTTCAGTTTCACCCCCATTTGAAATCTCTCTCTCACTTTCTTCCAGAAAAAAAACAAAACAAAAGGAGAGAGAGATCACATAGTGAAAATGGGTGTTCTTCTTCTTTCATCACCAGCATTT